GCGTTCTTTGGTCCAGATTTTCAATCTGGACAGATGCTGACAAACTAATTTAGGCTCAAGAAACCTATTAATCTTAGAACTTTTGCCTTGCTTTAACTAATAGGACATCTTGTCTGGGTGGAATACATTTCATATATTCCAGTAAACATATTTTAATAAAGACAAATAGGAATTCGCTTTAGCAAAGTAAGTTAAGTAAACAGAAACCTCTTAAGGAAGAAAAAAATCAACTTGGCATTTTTTGACAAAGTGACATGCTCTTAATGGATACAAATCAAATGACTAAAAAAATATGAAAGGTTGCATGCTGAAGAAAAGTTTACAATAATTGGATGGGTGTGTGTTTCCTGCAAAAGTTTTTCTGTAGGTTTATTGCATAGTGAAAGATTTAAGTGATTTAAAATCTATGTTATTACTCGATCTGGAAAAAAAAAAACATCTTCACTGTGTGGTTTGTTCTTTGTTATATGTACATTTACCATGTTATTCATTAATATATTAAGTATTCATTAACCTATAGTGCCGTATATATCAGTGCGGGCGCAAAGTAAAGTACCACATCGTATAGTATAATCATAGGAAGGTATGTACAAAAACAAGAATATATTTTGAGGTACTTGAGGATTACAAGTATATGTTTGCATTAAATGTACAAATTCTTATTAGTATCATATAAAATTCACCCCAAAAAAATTATAAGGTTACTAAGATTTGTCTTTGAACAAGTATCTTTATCCCATGTCCCTTACCACTTAGAATGCCAGTCTCATATGATTACATGATTACATCCAATTTAGAACCTATACACTTTTTGTAAGACTGATGATACAGTAAATACTTTTGTACAGTAAATTTATGCATTTATTTTTTTGCTTGTTCGATTATATGCACTGCCAAACTTTTTAAATATACTGTATACTGAGTTTATTTTTGTATTACATCATATTGTGAAATGTCAGGTGTATACTTTTATGTCTGTAGGTTCAGGGTTTATTTGTTGGGTGTCCCCTAAATGGTAAGCATATAGGTCCCTCAGGGGGTATTATTCTAGCTTAGCCTTAATGATAGTGTGCTTTATTCAGCCTTTGGTATTTCTCTCTTTGCCTATGTATGTGGGTGCTCCAACACCTCTCCATGCCCACAGTATACATTGTGTGCCTGGGAAGGTGTGGGCAACATGCCCCACTGGGTGGAATTGTTGTTGTGCATGCGTGTTATGGGTATCCACATCATGGTGACGTCACATGCAGCACCCATTATGCGGTGTGGATGAGGTCCATATTAGGCTTGCCCTGAGGAAGAGGGGTAGCATGGCCATGATCTACATGTATGTTTGGGGGGCAGCATTATGTTACTTTGCACTTTCCCCCCCTCCTCAGATTATCTTTAATCGATCAGGGTGAGTGCCATTTTTATCTGACTGCTCTATTTAGCCATGAGCTGCATGTAAGTTTTGGAGATTCAGCGGAGTGATGGTTCTGATTGCAATATTGCAACAAAACTATACGAGATATCAGTTCCCAATAGGACACTATATACAGTATATATATATATATATATATATATATATATATGCACTGCTCAAAAAATTTAAGGAACACTTTAATCAGAGTATAGCATCAAGTTAGTCAAACTCCTGGGATATTGATCTGGTCAGTTAGGCAGCAGAGAGGGTTGATAATCAGTTTCAGCTGCTTTGGTGTTAATGAAATTAACAACAGGTGCACTAGATGGGCAACAATAAGATGACTCCCAAAACAGGAATGGTTTTACAGGTGGAGGCCACTGACATTTTTTCCCTACTCATCTTTTCTGACTGTTTTTCAGTAGCTTTTGGCTAGATGTGTCACTACTGGTAGCATGGAGCAATACCTGGACACTACAGAGGTTGCACAGGTAGTCTAAGTCCTCCAGGATGGCACATCAATAGGTACCATTGTCAGAAAGTTTGCTGTGTCTCCCCAGTCCAGTCTCAAGAGCATGGAGTGGATTCAAGGAGACAGGCAGTTACTCTAGGAGAGCGGGACATGGCCGTAGAAGGTCCTTAACCCATTATCAACACCAGTATCTACTCCTTTGTGCAAGGAGGAACAGGATGGGCACTGTCAGAGGTTTACAAAATGAAGTCCAGCAGGCCACTGGTGTAAATTTCTCTGACCCGTCAGAAACAGACTTCATAAGGGTGGCCTGCAGGCTCGACATCCTCTAGTGAACCCTGTGCTCACTACCCAGAACCATAGAGCCCGATTGGCATTTGCAAGTGAAAACTAGAATTGGCAAGTTAGCCACTGGCACCCTGTGCTTTTCACAGATGAGAGCAGGTTCACCTTAAGCACATGTGACAGACATGAAAGGGTCTGGAGAAGCCGTGGAGAACATTATGCTGCTTGTAACATTGTTTAGCATGACCGTTTTGATGGTGGGTCAGTGATGGTCTGGGGGAGGCATATCCATGGAGGGACACACAAACCTCTACAGGCTAGACAATGGCACCCTGACTGCCATTAGGTATTGGGATGAAATCCTTGGACCCATTGTCAGACCCTATGCTGGTGCAGTGGGCCCTGGGTTCCTCCTGGTGCACCACAATGCCCGGCTTCATGCAGCAAGAGTATGCAGGTAGTTCCTGGAGGATAAAGGACTTGATACCATTGAATGGCCCCCACTCTCACTTGACCTAAATCCAATAGAACAACTCTGGGATGTCATGTTTCTGTCCAATCCGATGCTGCCAGGTTGCACTTCAGATTGTCCAGGAGCTCAGCGATGTCCTGGTCCAGATCTGGGAGGAATACCCAAGGACACCATCCATTGTCTTGTTAGGAGAATGCCCTGACGTTGTCCTCTGTAGGTTGATAATTTTCATTTCCAACAAATGATGGGGCTTCCTTATGTTCCTTATCAGTATAGAAATTTAGCATGATATTTTCCCCATTGAGATATGATGTGTTTTCAATGTGTTCCTTAAATTTATTTGAGCAGTGTATGTGTATATATATATATATATATATATATATATATACATAGTGCTCAGCATAAATGAGTACACCCCTTTAGAAAAGTAAGATGAGTTTTATGGAACATTTGTTTAGCCCATTACATGAAAGTAAGGTTACTAATATAACTTAGATTACAAAATCTTCAGTTTTAATCAAATTTGTTGATGCAAAAATGAATACACCCCAAAACTAAAACTACTACATCTAGTATTTTGTATGACCTCCATGATTTGTAAGGACAGCACCACGTTTTTTAGCCATGGAATGAACAAGTTGGCGATATATCGCAACATCGATCTTTTTCCATTCTTCAAGAACTGCCTCTTTTAGAGCCTGGATGCTGGATGGAGAGTGTTTATCAACTTGTCTCTTCAGAATTCCCCATAGGTGTTCAGTTGGGTTCAGATCTGGAGACATACTTGGCCACTGAATCACTTTCACCCTGTTCTTCTTCAGAAATGCAACAGTGACCTTAGATGTGTGTTTTTGATCATTGTCATGTTGGAAAAGTGCATGATGACCAAGGGCATGGAGTGATGGTAGCATCTTCTCTTTCAATATAGAGCAGTACATCTATGAATTATTGATACCATCAATGAAATGCAGCTCCCCAACATCAGCAGCACTCACCAGCCCCACAGAAGGACACTATCACCACCATGTTTCACTGTAGGCACAATGTATTTTTCTTTGTACTCCTCACCTTTGTGACCCCATACAGTTCATACATCAGTTACAAAAACATTTATCTTGGTCGCATCACTACAGAGTACAGAGTCCCAGTAGTCTTTTTCTTTTTCAGCAAGGGCCCTGGAAAATTCTAGGTGGGCTTTTTTGTGTATAGGCTTTAGGAGAGGCTTCCTTTGTGGACGATACCCATGCATGCCATTCCTCTGCACTGTACACCGTATTGTGTCATGGGAAACAATCATCCCAGTTTGGCTTTCTACTTCTTTAGCTAACTACAGTGAACTTACATGACGATTTTCTTCAACCCTTCTCATCAGTAGATGCTCCTGTCGAGGTGTTAACTTCTGTGGATTGCCTGGATGTCTCTGTGAGAAGGTTGCAGTTCCATCTTTGTTAAATGTTTGTATCACTTTTGCTACAGTATTCTGACTGATAAGTAAAGCTTTGCTGATCTTCTTGTAGCCTTCACCTTTCTTGTGTATAGAAATTATTTTCTTTCTCAGGCCTTGTGACATTTCTCTTCAATGTGGTGCCATTGCTAACAGTGAAATAAGTCTTTGTTAAGTAATGACCTTTTATAATCAACTGTCTGTTGTACACCTGTTTAATGAATGATTAACTCACTTGTAGTTGAATTCTTGTTAATTAGGATTTTGTCAAAAAATTTAGCTTTGCTCTTAAGAGCAAAGCTACATTTTAGACAACAAAATCCTTTAATTGGGGTGTATTCATTTTTGCAACATGCTCTTGAATTAATTTGTTAGAAAAAATACTTTTTTGTGTGTGCAAATTAACAATTCTTCTTTGTAATCAATGGCCCACATTTGTGGGAGTATTTTGTAGTATAGTGTCCATAGAAAATGTTGATTCTGAAAGAAAAATAAAGGTTTTATAAAAAAATCTGTTGGGGTTTACTCATTTTTGCTGAGCACTGTATATATACAGTATATATGCTATATATATAAAAGGAATCAAAGGATGTGTAGGCCAAGAATCTGTCAAACTGCTCTTTTACTTGTAAATCCAAGTGCAAATATTCAAACCATATTTTAGCAGTAAAGTAATGGTTTAGAACCATATTCTTTGTCAAGCTAAGTGTTGGTTTACTGATAAAATATGATTTGTATATTTGCATTTGGATTTACAAGTAAAAGAGCAGTTTAATAGATTTATGGACTATGCATCCTTTGATATGGTCACACCGAGTATGGAGCCTGCTTGATGTGGTGGTCTTCTCATTTGACTTTGATTACAAGTGTAACTCACCCCTGAGTAAATAAATACACTATATTGCCAAAAGTATTTGTACACCCCTTCAAATCATTGGATTCAGGTGTTTCAATCACCTCCATGGCCACAGGTGTATAAAATCAAACACCTAGGCATGGAGACTGCTTCTACAAACATTTGTGAAAGAATGGGTCGCTCTCAGGAGCTCAGTGGATTTAAGCATGGTACCGTGATAGGTTGCCTCCTGTGCAATAAGTGCATACGTGAAATTTCCTTGCTAATAAATATTCCACAGTCAACTGTTAGTGGTAGTGTAACAAAGTGGAAACAACTGGGAACAACAACAACTCAGCCACAAAGTGGTAGGCTACGTAAAATGACTTAGTGGGGTCAGCGCATGCTGAAGCACACAGTGCGCAGAAGTCGCCAACTGTCTGTAGAGTCAGTAGCTTTTGACTTCCAAACTTCATGTGACCTTCAGATTAGCACAACAACAGTAGGCAGAGAGCTTCATGAAATGGGTTTCCATGGCTGAGCAACTGCATCTAAGCCCTTCATTGCCAAGTGCAATGCAAAGCGTTAAGTGAGTTTGGGGTGAAGGAACTTGACTGGCCTGCACAGTGTCCTGGCCTCAACCTGATAGAACATCTTTGGAATGAATTAGAGCAGAGACTGTGAGCCTTGCCTTCTCGTCTGACATCAGTGCCTGACCTCACAAATGCGCTTCTGGAAGAATGGTCAAACATTCCCATAGACACACTCCTAAACCTTGTGGACAACCTTCCCAGAAGAGTTGAAGCTGTTATATCTGCAAAGGGTGCGCCAACCCAATATTGAACCCTACGGACTAAGACTGGGATGCCATTAAAGTTCATGTGCATGTAAAGGCAGGCGTTCCAATACTTTTGGCAATATATATATATATATATATATATATATATATACAGTATATATAAAATGTATTGCCAAAAGTATTGGGACACCCCTCCAAATCATTGAATTCAGGTGTGTCAATCACCTCCATGGCCACAGGATTCTAAATTCAAGCACCTAGACATGCAGACTGCTTCTACAAACTCTCAGGAGCTCATTGAGTCAATATCTAAAGACCTCCAAACTTCATGTGGCCCTCAGATTAGCACAACAATAGTGCATAGAGAGCTTCATGGAATGGGTTTCCATGGCCTTACATCACCAAGTGCAATGCAAAGCATCAGATGCAGTGGCGTAAAGCACGCCACCATTGGACTCTAGAGCAGTGGAGACATGATTTCTGGAGTGGCGAATCACGCTTCTCTGTGTGGCAATCCGATGGATGTGTCTGGGTTTGGCGGTTGCCAGGAGAACTGTACTTGCCTGAGTGCATTGTGCCAAGTGTAAAGTTTATTGGAAGGGAGATTATAGTGTGGGGTTGTATTTAGGGGTTGGGCTTGGCACCTTAGTTCCAGTGAAGGAAACTCTTAAGGCGTCAGCATACCAAGACATTTTGGACAATTTCATGCTCCCAACTTTGCAGGAATACTTTGGGTATGGCCACTTCCTGTTCCAACATGACTGTGCACCAGTGCACAAATCAAGGTCCTTAAAGATATGGATGAGCGAGTTTGGGGTGGAGGAACTTGACTGGCCTGCACCTCAACCTGATAAATTATTGTGAAGACTGTGAGCCAGGCTTTCTGGAAGAATGGTCAAACATTCCCATAGACAAATGCCCAAAATTTGTGGACAGCCTTCCAAGAAGATTTGAAGCTGTTATAGCTGCAAGGGTGGGCCAGCTCAATATTGAATCCTACAGACTAAGACTGGGATGCTAACGTTCATGTGCATGTAAAGGCAGGTGTTCCAATACTTCTGGCATTATAGTGTATATATATATATATATATATATATATATATATATATATATTATATATATATTATATATTATATATACAGTGTATATATATAGCACCCCTGTGATTACATTTTCTGAAGTTTTTTTTATCGTGGTCTTTGTGATTGAAATGTATATGTTTGGAACATATTTTCCCCTTCAAGAATGTAACAGACATTAAATATTATTATGATATACTGTATACATAAGCATAGATGTTTATGAAAAAATACATATGTATATAATTTATGTCTAGAAAGTGTTCTTACATGTAACACAGAATTAACCTTTCTGATCTTGGTGAAGTGGAGAACATACAAGAGATGCGCAGAGGAATAAGGATACCTTTGTCTATGGTACCATCGGTCTTTTAAAAAGTACATAGGTGCTAAATTGGATGTAATCAGATGAACATACTAAGGGGGAAGATTTACTAAAACTAGAGCACTAAGGATCTTGTGAAGCTGTGCATGGTAGCCAAACAGCTTGCAAATTCTGGTTGTGCAATTAAGCTTTGGTAATAAAACCTGAAAGCTGACTGGTTTCTATGCAGAAGTGCACCAGATTTGCATTCTCCAGTTTTAGTAACTAGCCCCCTAAGAGTTAATGCACATGGGATAGGGATACCTGTATAAGGAGACATCTTAATGACTGTATAATGTTTGTGATGTTTTCAAATGATATTAATAAAAATGTGTACTTTTTATACAAACAAAGTTGTTTTCCTTGGTTACTTCAAAAAGTCTACATACAACTTACTTTTAAGTTAATTTTTTTTTTAAATGTTACAGGGACACAATTATTATTTGACTTTGTTAGATTTTAGTTGATACTGATAATTTTTTTTATCATAGATGTAGATTTGTATTAAAACAGTGGTGCATTAAAAAAAACTACAACACTATCTATACTTTATATAAAGTATTATTTATTTCCCTTATTTTGATGAAAATATCTATTTAGACTTTAATATCAAACACTGAATATGATACTTGATAACACTTTATAAAATATTTGCTCACATTTGCAAATTTCTGTGAAATGCTCAAATTAGTAAAAGCTGAACTATGAAGAAGAAAACTTTCATTCAAATACAGTATATCCGTCAATAGCCACAAAGAACATAAATCCACTTGCACCAAATGCATTTGTTAATCCAGATATCACCTTATAAATGTAGCAGTGACTTGACTGTACAGAGAGCAGGGATGGGAGGGAACCAAAAGATCCACTAGAAAACTAGAGGAAGGGTGGATAAAAGACCACTCTCCCTGCACAAGGATAGAGAGCATCAGTGGCTCATCTTAATATAGGAAGCGTTTTTACAGAGGAAAAGTTTAACACTGAATTACTTCCCACTTTGAGAAGAAATACACCAAAATTCAAGTAAGAGTACACAAGGTTCTTTTTTGCAGCCAATCTTTGCTTATACTAGAGTTCAGCTTTAAAGTGATACTAAAGGGCTACATTTTTTAATAAAAAAGAGGTCATACGTAAGTGCTCTGTGAAATTATATTGCATAGACAGGTCCTTCCTCCTCTTCTGTCAGTCACCACACTGACACTTTTAGCTTCTCTCTCCTCCATGTGCCTCCTACAGCAAGCTGGGTACTTAGGAGGCATCTGTGCATGCACGCTCCTGAGCTGGGCTGAGTGCATCCATAGATCCACACAGTGCTGATAAGCCATGCTCCTGCTCCCTCACCATAGAGGATTGAATGTCTCCTGCAAAAGGAAAATACCATTTGCAAAGTTGACAACCTATTTGCCTTCAGTAAATCTATCCCATTGAGTTTGGTTCCACATAGCTGTTTCTCAAAATGCTCTCTGTTGGGCTTGTGCATGTGTGTCACACTGTCCATTTAGTTCTATGTGTGTTCTGGAGTTCCAACTTGTACTTCTGAACAAAACCATAGGGCTGAATGGAAAATGTGGCACCAATACATGTGTCCAGCAGGAGGGTTTTTCTTACTGGATGAGGAGCATGTAAGTATAAGTCTGGGGGAAAGGGAAGTTAGGCTATGCAAGCATGTTTGAGGAAAATACTGTATACTTTTAAATTGGCACTTCCTGTAAACAGAAGGTGTTTGCATGCTGCCACAGTAGAACAAACTAAAGACCCTAAACAGAGTTAGCTGAACATACCTGGGTTGAGTTTGAGGCAGGTTTGGAAAATGTTACTGATGTTCAGGTGCTGAATCTGAACCTTACTGAAGTCAATGGGAGTTGAATGTAAAAAAACAGTAATCACAATTTCTAGGCCCCTTACTTCCATTTGTAAACAAAGTGGCAGGGGATTCCCTTCACCTATACCAGACTCTAATCCTAGATGAGGTTCTGATATAGATGTTAATGGGGGGCCCCAAAGAAAAAAAATGAGGTTGGTATCCCCCTAAAAATACTTACCTGACCCCTATCCTTGATGAGGATCTGGTATGAATGCTACGTGGGACCCCCCCCCCCCCCACACACACACACACACACAAAACTAATAGCAAGATAACCCCTCAAAAACCATACCAGAACCGTAGATGACCATGCATCCTGCCAGACAGAGAAAGTGGAGGGGGGGAGTTTGTACCCCTGTTCCCCAAACCATACTAGGCCAAATATCCTCAGCATGGGGGGGGGGTTGATTTTACCATTGCACCCTCCCATCTATGTGTTTTACTGCTTAGGGATGGGCCAACAATAAAGTGCATTTGGTGGTAATAGGTACTCTAGACCAGGTTTTGTGGCCTTGGAACACTCTAAGGAAGTAGAGGCCAATATGAAGGCACCTAGAGGTACCTTCTGTTTACAATAAGTGCTACACTGGAAATATGTAACCCCTCTGCAGATTCTCAGTGTAGGTCTAGGTTTGCTTAATTTTTTAAATTGTATTTTCTATCTTGTGTGCTTTCGTATTTAGATTATCAACATTCAAAGACTATATGTTGGTTATTTAACAATGTAGAGTCCATAGTGCATTTTGTAGCTCTAAAGCTTACAGCTGGGCCTTCTGTAGTGGTGGGCCTAGGGCAAGAACCAGTTCAGCCCTAACTAAACTAGCCCAAGGGTTGTTACATTTTACTCAATACTTGTGGGTGATTTCATTCCTATAAAAAAATCCACCAATCACTGATCATGCCAAGTATCTCCTTTCATGGCTTCATGTCTATTGATTAACTGCCTAAAGCAGCAACAAAATCTTTTCAGCTCATGATACACATAACAGACTGGAAAAAGTTGTCTGGATAAAAATAAAATCTTCATCTGCCATGGCCTGTGTTTGATCTCCTCACGGCGATCATTCTGTGTGCCCCGTAGTGATTATAAATCTGCATATGGATTATTATCACACACATATGAACCATGTAATTTGTTCAGATAAATTTTCCACTAACAAATCAAAATGAATGTTTACTGAAAATACTCAACTGTGCATGAACATCCTAATTGAAACAACCATCTCACATCCACCACTTATTAGGGCAAAGATTT